TGAACTTTACAATCTGAATTCAATATCTCTTTGGATCGATTAGAACATTTTAAGACTTTTCTTTTCTTTCATGGCCAATAATATCAATGAGCTTTTTGACATTTTAAAAGTAGGTTCAATTGTTGTTGTCTTACCTTTTAACAAGTTGGGCTTTCGTCTTTGGAACTTTTGCGGGATCTCCTCTGCATTTTAGCCAGAATTTTAGTTCTTGTACTTTTGAATTAGCTGGAGCTCTCCCACTTAGTGATGAACCAGGAATATCTACTTCTGAAAGCTTTAGATTGTTTGAAACCGAGCTCATTTTGTGTCAACAAAGGTGAAAGCGTCCGAAGAAAGAAAAACACAGGGGCCCGACGGACCTCGCTTTCGTGCAAACTTGTTACCAGGCTTCTTAAGCAAATTTTCAATATGCATAGCGTGTATAGTTGTTGCTGTTTTTAATACACCTCTATCGTACAGCGCAATTGAGTGTAACTCTTCTATTATTCATTGTACTATTTGAATGAATCTTTAATTGTAAATTTAACAAAAGATTTGAGCCAAGTGGCAAACATTGCTGAGGTGCACTTACATTCTCAGAAGACTGGGCTATATCATTCAAAAGTGCTGTGGGGGCTGTATAAGTGTTCCTTGAAGGATGCATAATAGTGGTAGAGTAATCATCATCATCCTGTCATGAACAAACAAAAGATACTTCAAACTGCGAAAAAAACAGATGTAAACAGTACCTGTGATTGCAAAGGGATGAGTACAACATACCAATGGGACTATGGGGGAATAAGCTCTCATATGATTTTAACAAAAGCTGGCTCTCATACAGATAGATCTATCTTCTTGCAAACAAACCTAGAAAACTTATCACCAATGCATGAGGGAAACAACTTATGTGAATTGCCATGTATATCATTTCAACATTAATCAAAATTGAAACAAAAATTCCCAAATGTGATTGATTATCACGAGCCCAATTTTTGTGTACTGATAGGACAGTCCAAGTATCATGCATGTACTTGACAGCGTGCACATTATAACTTCTCTTAGTGGATGGCAAGCATCATGCGTGCACTGTTTTTGTGCATTTTGCTGAGTTGAGTAATTATAATTGGTCAAG